AACCTCATGCTCGACCGCGTGACGGGCAAGATTATCCACATCGACTTTGGCGACTGCTTCGAAGTGGCTATGAAACGCGAGAAATACCCAGAGCGTGTGCCGTTCCGACTGACCCGCATGCTCACCTACGCCATGGAAGTCAGCAACATCGAGGGAAGCTTCCGTATCACCTGCGAGCATGTCATGAGAGTCTTGCGAGACAACAAGGACAGCGTGATGGCTGTCTTGGAAGCGGTATGTTTCTTCTCCCAGTCCATGTCTTGAATCCTCCAAGCTAATCGTATCGCAGTTCATTCACGATCCTCTCCTGACCTGGCGCCTTACTAATGCTGCCAGTCCGGCGGGACCGAACTTCCGATCTGAACGCGAGACTTCGCTTGCTGGCCCGCAAGCTGCCAGGGCACGCCGTCCCTCTGTCCTCGACGCAGACGTGGCGCCGTCGGAGTTGCTTGCCACTGGAGATCCCGGTTTGCCCGGAGGACCCGTCGCGCGCTCCCGATCGAGAACAAACTCATCAATGGCACACGAAGGCAGTGTTGTTAATGGCAACAACGGACCGGACCCCACCGAAATACAGAATGCTCGGGCCGTCGAGGTGCTGGATCGCGTCTCTCAAAAGTTGACTGGCAAGGATTTCAAGCCGAACGAGGAGCTTGATGTAATCAACCAGGTCAACAAGCTCATCACGGAGGCGACAAAGTTGGAGAACCTCTGCCAGCACTACATAGGATGGTGCAGCTTCTGGTAATCCCGACATTGTTTTAGGTTTGGGTGAGCGATTGAGCATCCACGGTTCCCAAAGGGCTTTCATGAGGATACGAAGTCGTTGGGCTCGTGGGAAGGGTTTCGCTTATGTGAGCGGCCGCGGCGGCGTTGGCGGTATCTCTCTTCAATGTGTGTTTAACTTTCCTGGCATGTTGCCAGGCGTTTCCGTTTTCGTTAGTCTTGTTAGTGTATACCAGGTCAAGGGTCAAGGGCTTTAGCAGTACATTCTGGACTTTGCAGACGGCCTCTTTTGTTTCTCGAGGTATCATGGCATGGCGTCGTGGTAGACAGAAAATCAATCCATGGGTAATTTCAAAGTAAAGACTTGCATCTAAGTGGTGTCTTAAGGTATGTATGTCCATGCGAAATCAGGCAAACACTGGTCACGGCAATGCATTGTCGTCTATGGGACAACCACCTGACCCATTTGTGACCTCCCTCTGGCCTACGCCTTTTTCAGGGTGACGCCGAATGGTCGCGGCGAAATGCTCTTGGCCGACCCATCCTCGGCGATGGTGATGATGAAGTCGTCCAAAGCAAGGTAGTTGTAGGTCTTGCGATCAATCAAGCCCCATGTCTGACAGTCGCCGTCGGGGTATACGAGCTTGTCACCGACGTCCGGCTCGTCGTGATTCTTGTACACGGCGCGCCAGGACCACTGGTTACCCTCTCTGATGTTGGTGGGGTAGACCCTGCCGCTGACGTTGAAAGCCTGGATCTTGGAGCCGACGCCGTAGCTGGGGATGTGAGAGAGCACGTCGAAGCCGCGGACGGTGTAGTTTGTAAGAGACAACCCTGGGCCGTCATCCATGGATAGCGTTAGCGTTGAGTTTGTTTCCTTGTCGACGTACTCTCCTGTAAAGGTCGCTGCCGCGTGCTCTTTATTCGCCTTTTCAAGAGCCGGTATGAGGGCTCGGATGACGGGGGAGATGACTTGGGATGGGAACTGGAAAGTGCCTGCGGCTTCGGCACCGGCGGTGAGGATGGAGATGACGAGATCGTAGTCGGGGACAAGGAGGAGGACGTTGGTGTATAGGCCGAGGTCGCCGGACTTTGTGTAGATGCTGACGGGGACGCCTGAGTCGAGAAGCGTGGATGTAGTCCATATCTCCCAAGGGGCCCCGATGGAGTAGCCGCGCGAGGAGGTGAAGGCGCGTGGCTTCAACCAGGAACCTGTGTCGATGCCGACATTGTCGGAAAGGATTGCGGTTCCGAAGGTGAGCATGTCACGGGTGTTTGTGTAGATGCCGCCCGCTGCGGCGTACGCGCCGAGGTCGCCGCCCCAGGTTGGTTCCTGGAGGGGGATGAAGCCCGAGCCCTTTGCTGGTGTGGCGATGGAGGTCTTGGTCAGACCGAGGGGCTTGAGGATTGTGTCGGTAAGGATGGTCTCGTAAGTTTGGTTGGATGCCGCTTCGACTGCGAGGGCGAGGAGGGCGATGCCGATGTTGGAGTAGACGGGGGTGGTGTGTGGGCGGAAGACAAGGGGTTTCTCGTTTAGACCGTGGAGGAGGTCTGTGTGTTGTTAGGAACTTGCCATGAGATTGTGTAGATGGGGATGGGGGCTTGCCTTTTGACGAGCAGGGCTTGGTGCCGAGAAGACCGGAGCAAGTGGGCTTGGTGTCGTTGGAAACGGGGGGAAGACCCATTGATACCCAGGCACCGGGGAAGACGGCGAGGTCAGTGGCGACTTTGAGATTATTAGTACAGGCAAGCAATATGGACGAGGACTAAACCTACTGTCACCGCCCAGTCCGGAAACATGGGAAGCTAAGTCCTTAATAGTGATGTTGTCCCACGGGATGAAGTTGAGCTGGCCTTCATTCTTCACGGCGTCGGTCTTGAGTTCCGGTAGGTACTTGGTGACGAGATCGGTCCCCTTGATATGGGAGTTCTTCAGAGCCGTGAGGGTGGTGAAAACCTTGGTAATGCTCCCTCCGCGGTATACGGTGTCAATATCGACTTTTGCAACGCTGCGGTTATCTGCCACGGGAGGAGTATGGTGCCAGTTGAATATGGGCGCATCTTCGTGTATGGACCGGACGCCAATAGAGATTGCAGTGTAGTTCAGGGCGGAGGTCAAATTGACGAGGCCTTCTTGGATCTTGAGAATGGTTTCTTGTACTATTGTCGAATTGCTTGGTGTTTTGGTGGAGGGTAACGTCGGTCCTAGTGGTGGGCAGGGGTTGGCTTGGGAGATAGTGATTATGGAGGCTGCCGTGAAGGCACACAGTGAGGTTTTGGTAACCATCTCGAGAAATGCTCAACCACCGAGACAAGTGCGAACGATACGCTAACTAGATTATTGAACTTGAGCTGTCTTAATGAGAGATAGTTTTCTCGAAGTCGCACATCTGAACGCAATTATATCGTTTCTACAAGACCAAGAATCCTAATGCGTCTGTACGAGTATTTCGCCCTACGATGCCTTGCGAGTAATTAGGCAGAAGCTATTCCTGGGTCTTAGACTATGATGAAGACTAAGCCACGACAAGACGCGACGTGAAGCTCGAGCAAGCAACGTTGAGCTATCAAAAGCTCGGGACAGAGTCTTTCAAGGTCCGGCACCACCAATCACGACTCGTCTGACAGACGATCAAAAGCCATAGCGTCTGGTAGGATGAGCAAGACAGACGCTATACTAGCGGGCAGGAGGCGGCAGCTTATATGGCATGGTTTTGGTCAAATTAAGGTTAATTCTACGGATACTGGTCTGTGTTGCCTGTGCTCAGCCACCAACCTCTGTCCTTTCAATCGATGACCCCTGGGGCAAGTGAGAGGAAGAGGAAGAGCTGGGATGACGGGGGAATTGGGACGCGGCAACAAAGCCGTAGGCCCGTAGGGCGATGCAAAGATCGGGAATGGACTGAGAAGAGACCCGTTCACCTGGGTCTAGCGTACCGTCTGGGCTGAAGAATGGGTGCGGCGTCAAGGCAGCAAGGAACAGAGCCACTGAGCCAGTCAGACGGTGGCTTGGCCGGTATTCACCGGTGATGATGTGATGCAATGACAGGGTTTGAGGCTCTTTGCAGGAAATCATCTGGAATCATGGATACCTTAATTGGTGTCGATGGCAGAGGACGGGTAAGGTAGAAGACGAGCAACAGGACCGTAGGCAACGGGATCAACGGGCGCCCCCGTATCCGCACCGCTGAACTGCTGGACCGAGTAAGGTAGGATCCTGCGGGGGCCGGCTCGGAGCCCCACTAGAGCTCAGCGATTGGTTCGCTCGGGACAATAGTGCGAGATCTGGGACGAATCAGAGACGCGTCCACCCGTGACTTAGCCCCGTTAAAGTGGGTAATGTGTCGTTGCGGCCCGTGAGACTTTGTCCTCCCACCAGAAAGGTGCAGTCTGCAGTCTGGAATTCTGGGCTGAGCCGCTTCCTTCCATTTGTTCCACAATCCGAGTCGGTTCGTTCGCCCCAAATGCAGTGCAATCCAGACAACCACACAACTTCACCTCGTTTGGCGCATCTCACCACGATGGGACGTCGGCCCTGCAGCTGAGGCAGTGACAGGGCTGACATATGAAATGACACTAGCCAAACTATCCTTGGATTACCCTACGGATACAGACTACGTTACCTTTCCCAGTGCCAGACCTACATACTGAGACCACCTCACCTTGTCGACCCTCGATTTGTATCCGCTATCCCCATGTCGCGACCGTCACCATAACTCCAGGCAGAGATATTCTCTGAGCTCTCGTTCGACAACTGCTGGGGATCTGACGGAGTTGTCTCTACAAATTGAGAAGCTTGGCTCAACAGAGTACCGTCCTCCGATCCGTATCTATCTCACTCACTACCCTGTTACACCTCGGCTTGGGCGGGAATCTCGCTTCCATCACTCCGAATCGCCAGAAAGTGGATTCTCTACGGATACGGGCTTCACTCATCAGTGCTCGCTGTATGCCTAGCTTGTTGCAAGGGTTCACCGTCGTCGATTGATTCCAAAGACTGCTTCGTGCAGTACGAGATACAAAGGTCGCAGGTTTCACCACAATACACTAAAGGGCACCTTGGCCGTGATTGCTGGACTCGGACTTGACACCTCGGATCCAGAGAGCAAGAACACTACAGACCAACAACAGACCAACAAGACCAAAGTCCCGACGCCGTTCCAACGACCTGGAACCAGCCGTGCCAGCCCTGAGCTCTGGTCCAGGAACATACAGTACTATCCACTTTGTCCAACCCTACCTCTGACCCTACGGACCTACGGGAGCTCGGCATCATGAGCACGCCAGATGACCCGCAAATCAAAGACTCAGCAAGCACGCCGCCGGCGTCATTGCAGGTCCCCTCAGGCCGGAAGGGCACCAAGAAAGTTCGGACTGGATGTGTGACCTGCAAGTTGAGTCCGAGCCTCCCTATCAATCCCATCACTACATCTGCCATCCCATCTCCAGCCCTGTGTTTCCATCTCACTTTATCTAATTCCTCTCCACCTTTCTTGCTGACCCGTCGTCCAAACACCTAGGATCCGAAAAGTCAAATGCGACGAGACGAAACCCGCATGTCTTCGCTGCACCAAGACAGGCCGGAAATGCGACGGCTATCTACCCTCGTCGAAGCCGGGGAGCAGCAGTGATGGCAGTCCCGGTTCCGACGACAGCATTTCTCGCTTGAGCCCGGCAGTCTCAGCCTTTGCCGACTGGGCCGGCGGCTCTAGAGAGCAGCGCGCGTTTGACTTCTATCGCAACTTTTCCGCCCCATCCATATTTAGCGACGGAGTCGCCTCGACTCTGTGGAAGAAATTGGTACCGCACTTTTGTCACGCCGAGCCCGCCATTCGCCATGCCGTCCTCGCCATCAGCAGTCTCCATGAAACACTCGCGCTACCTTCAAATTCGGATCCAATTACTGAAGAAGCAAACAACCCTCGTGTGCTTACCAACACTTTTGCAGCGGAGCAATACGGCAAGGCCTTGAAGTGCCTTCAGGAGTGGAAACCGACAGCATCATCGCCGGCCACCGTACCGCTCTTAGCATGCTTGCTGTTCATATGCATCGAATTTATGCTTGGCGACGAGGGCGCATCGCAGGTACACATCAACCAAGGCCGCACCATTTTGTCACAACTTGAGCCTTCTGCCGATGTGGATATGATTAAGAAGCATTTCGTGCCCATCTATAGTCGACTTGGCCTCGCATCTTTCCTCTTTGGGAGCTTCCCCGCCGCCATACCCGCCACCCTTCAATCGAGTCCGGCAACGAATCTATACTTTGCATCCGTAGACGAGGCCGAAGTGTCATTATACGAACTCATCGATGACGGCTTGAGATTCACTGCACAGGCCAAGAGAGCCGTATATTCCTACCAGCCAGACGACCCAACCTTGCTGGACCTGGCCCATGAACAAGACGACTTTCTCGCACGGTTGACACGATGGCACATTGCATTTGTGGTGGTCTCAGCCACCAGTACTGACGACAACCTGAGCAAACGAAAGTTGTGCATGGTCTACTACCATGCAGCTAGGATTGCAATCAGTACGGCCATGGATCCCAAGGAGATTGCTTTCGATACCCATACCACAGCCTTTGCGTCAATTGTCAGCAATTCGGCAGAATTTGTACAAGCCACACGCAAGACGGTTCGTGACCCGTCTGAAGCCGCCAAGTCGATGCCCAAGTTTGTTTTCGACACCGAGGTCATCCCGCCGCTCTACTACGTGAGCATCAAATGTCGGCACCCGATGCTGCGGCGAGCTGCCGTAAGTCTCCTTAAGCAAGACGCTGTGACGAATCGGAGGGAGAACCTATGGGATGCCCAAATGCTGGCTGAGATCGGCAAGCGCTACATAAGTATCGAAGAGGAGGCGGCGCGTCACCGCGAGGAAGCGTTTGACATCACAGCTGGCTGGGACACGGCGTCTTGGGAGGGGTCCGATGGCGTGCCGACCGGCCTCTTCCCAGCGGAAATGGAATCCGGGATGGAGTGCGACTACCCCGTCCCTCGATTCCAGTACCCGCAGATTCCCAAAGCCACAAACTCGCAACAAAATGAGGAGTATGAGAGAACGCGGATTCTTGTCAATGATTTGATGCTGGATAGCCACCTGACGCCCAGGTCTGCGTCTACGGGATCAACGCCATCATCCGGGAGCATTGGTAATTTTGGCGCCTTTCAGCTCGAGCCGCCCTTTGGCCTTCCCGAGCATGCGAGGATCAAGAATGCTCTAATTGACAATGAGCAGAGGCGAGGTAGCTGGGTGACAATATTCATGGACCCCGAAGAGGCTGGGGCGACGAACTGGAAGGTTACCAAAGAGTTCATATCAAGGTGAAGTATAACCTTACTTGTTTTGATGAGCGACTTGAATGGCCCGGTGGATAGTTGTGCAATCTGTGTTTTTGCATTGAGCAGCGCGTTGAGGATAGCATACAAATGGTTGAGAGCTTAGAAAACATGCTGTTGAGTAAATCAACGGCAATGAAGATAATGATTGACTGCGTATTGAAAAGGTTGGGAACACGATTGCCGAGTCTCGAAGGAACTTGAACCATGGCTCAAGGCCTCTGTTCGCCTTTAGCTATGTCTAGACATGGTGCAGCATTTGCAACTTCTTCCGTATGAACGAGGGTCGGCGCCCTCTTGATAAGCCCCGATGCACGATTGATACTTCGTTAGTGGCCATGGGCCCATTCACTGAGCCGGTCATCCACACCGCCTCCAGAACCTTCAATACAATTTCTTGAATTAGATTAATGCAAAATCGGCCTCTCCCTCTTTGTAGACGAGATGCCGATACCTAATAATGAAATTGCGCTGGTGTCGTACGCAATTACTCTAGAGAATCTAAAGCCCCAGTCAACTGTGGACCATTGTGTAGGTCTTCCCCCCAAAACGTGTCGCCGCTTCTTGTTCCATGAGCTCTGAACAGTTTCCATACATCCAGGAGCTCGCCGGTGTGGTCTATAGTTACACATACCACTCGCCATTCATGTCGTAACAGCTGAGAGCGCCGTCCTGACTGACCCAGATCCCTTGAGCTACAACGCCGCTTAGCAAGGCCATCATTAGAACAATCATGCGATTGAATACTCACAGAGATTGATGGACGGCGACTTGTATCCCTCTAGCCAAAAGATACGTGGCTTGCACTCCTCGCACCTGAGGCCGACATATGTATTTGCAGACTTCTGGAAGACGCCGCATTCTCTGCACCTGAAACCGCCTCTGTGAAAAGTACATATACTGTTGTCAGCCAAAGTTTCATCAACCACGACATGACTGTCTGCAACTATTCTTTGGGAAGCATCTTGACTTTAAAGAGAATCATACCTCGGTGTCCACTCCAGGTTGCCGTCCCAGTTGGCGATGCACTTCTTGAGATCGAGCTTGGTGTAAACGTAAATGCCTTTCTTGTTCTTACACTGGGCAACGAGGTAGAACGGGTCCTTTTCTTCCTTTTCTATGAAGCTGAAATTTGTACATATGTTTTCCATGCAATCTGACTCGAGGGGGCATTTTCGGTCCAAGGTTGCGGCACGGGTTGCTAGAGCGGTAATGCGGGTTGCGAAAAGGTAGATGGAAAGCAGGGCGGCGATGATGGATGACTTCATGATGGCGGTTTTTGCGACGAGTTTACTCAACTTTACGTGCTATTGGATTGGAGTTGGAAGACTGAATGTGGTGAAAGATTGTCTGGGAGAGAGGACATCCTCGAATCCTTTATGGATCTCATTGCGATGTTCCATCTAGCCTGTCGGCCGCCCAGCATTGAAGCCAAGAGACTTCGCAAACACGCCGTTGCACCAAAGCTTGAGGGATATCGCGAGTACAACCATGGCCTCGAATAATTTTGTCAATTTCGGTGTTTGGATGCAAACTGTGTTGTGGCAGTACCACTTCTCTGAAAGGAGGTCTGTTCTCTGGGGGAAGCTTTGCCCGCTTTGAAGTACCCCTACATGCCCCCAAAGAGAAACCAATATCCCTATGAAGGTAGGAAGTTGTTGCACGCGTCATCGGATTTCATTGTTACGGACTCAATTTCGTACTTTCCGTACTGGCCGTACCGTTTTCTCATGCGAGACTGAATGTTTTCGGCTTGACGTCGAGTGATTGCGCTTCGTATGAATCTCACTTTCTATCTCTTTGCTACATGTGCTGGTATGTCTAATACCACAAACAGGAGATTTGCCTCGCAAACAGCCACAATGAAACGATCTGCATGGGTATTGATTGCAAGATAATGCTTTTGCCCCTCAAGCTAATGCGTGGACACTCGAAATCAATCTGCGGTTCCGAAAGAGGATTTTGAGAATGAGTGCCACTCAAGTGCCTAACATCAAAAGAAACCCAAACATTGCATGCAGTCAATAATAATTCGTCATCTCAGCCGAATGTTCTATTGTTTTTCCTGTCAATGTTCAGAACATCAACGGCATGCCGTCTTGGCTCCTAACTCGGTCGATTGGTCCATGAAATGACGGCGTCATGCGGGCCTGAGTCACTCGGTCAACCGGCAAGGTCGAATCTGGCCCCCGATATCTCTTCCGGCGACATAGGTTCCAACTTCAGCCGCACCATTATGACCAAGTATGGTCGCCAAGTGCTTCATCAACACATATAAGCGTAGTGACTGCGCCACGTTCCCCCGCGGGTTGCGTGAAGACCTCCATGGGATGTGGGGTATCCCAATCGGGCAACTTAATGCGGTACATGGATCGCAGTCCAAAGTCTGATCAGCCAAGAGATTGTGCCTATAACATTACTCCATCGGGCCAAAAGAGCGAGTATATGGTCACATTACCCCTTGACTTCATATAAACGCGAAGATATTCGTGCACTCAATGGCGAGATAACTTCGTATAGTGGGTTCGTTACGAGAAATGCCTGAGCTGAGCTGCTAAATGCTGCATGCACTGATGGAACATCGTAATTATCCAATTCAAGGTTGGATGTATCTCAGGTTCAGTCTACGAGGTCAAAATATAAAATAGACCAGTCTTTACCGGAAGAGTGTGAATGTTCTCCTTTCTTGATCAGCATCACTATTTTGAAAAACAGTGCGCTCAAAGACTAGCACATCTTTTTCCAACTTGATAGCGACTCTCCCAAGACCTAATGTTCAAGATGAGATCCATCATATTCATAACTTTCTTCCTGGCTTCAAAAGCTTTTGGGCAAGATCCTGGCTTGCCGGTTGCCAACCCCACCATATCCTACTGGCAAATCCCCCCTTTGGAAGGAGTCGCGGATCATCAGTCCGAACACCTACCGACGGATGCGGATGTTGTCATTATAGGCTCGGGCATGTCGGGAACTAGCATCGCCTGGCATCTTCTCAAGGAGAACAACAGCTCAACACCGCTGAGGGTAGCCATGATCGAAGCTCGGCAGGCTTGCTCTGGTGCGACGGGAAGAAATGGAGGTCACATCAGACCGTCTTCCTATGCCGAGTATGCTGGCGCTAAGACAGCAGTATCACGATCAGAAGCCGCCAAGATCACCCGGTTGCGCTCCGCCCATGTGGATGCCCTGATCTCTGCAGCTAACTCTCTTCCGGAAGAGGGAAAACTAGCTGCAGAAGCTCGTGTTGTGGATAGCATCGACGCCTTCTTCGATGAAGAGAGATGGAAGACAGCTGTCGAACAGGTCAAGATCCTCAAGGATGAAGTTGCAGACGTTGGAGCTGAATGGTCAATCTTTGAAAGTGAAGAAGCTCGCAATGTGAGTCATCATAGTCCACCAAATTTGGTATAGGGGCTCACAGAATGATTAGATATCGCTTCTCACTGAGACTGTTGGGATTCTTACCGGGACAACCAAGATGGCTGGTGCAATTTGGCCATACCGCTTCATTACCCATGCGCTGAAATCACTTCTGAGCACCTACCCTAGCTTCACTTTGGACACCAACACAGTTGCCTTGAACATTTCTGCCATCACCGAGTCGGCCAGTCCTTCAAACTATGAGGTCCACACTTCCAGAGGAAGCATCAGGACCAAGCACGTAGTTTATGCGACCAACGCTTGGACACCACACTTTGTTCCCGGCTTACAAGGCGCCATCCGTGGAGGCCGCTTGCATATGAGTGCCCAGCTTGGAGGCAACGGCTTGCCCAAAGCCGGAGAGTGGCCATCGTATACCGGAAATGGAAGTTTGGCTGGAGGACGTGCCTGGTCTCTGTATCGAAATGGCTTGGATTACATTGTCCAGATGCCTCGGAACGGAGAACTCATGTTCGGCGCAGATGTTGACGGTGACGACGCCAATGTCGACACCTACGACGACAGCCGGGCTCCCCTTCACCTTTCCGCCTCATATCTCAACGGAGCTCTACCAAACCACTTCGGGTACGACATTTGGGGTTCTGAGAGAAATGATTTTCCACAATCTTCGGACCCCAGGGTCTGGAATGGTCGCACGAAGCGTGTCTGGGTTGGCATCGAAGGAAGCTCAGTGGACTCCAGACCATTTGTAGGCCGAATCCCTCAGTCTGTCACAGGCCGATCTGTAAAGAATACTTCAACTGGGAGTGAGTGGGTGTCTGCGTCTTTTGACGGCGAAGGGATGTGCTTTGCTTGGCTCTGTGGTCGTGCACTCAGTCGAATGATATCGAACACCGGCTCTGGAGCGAATGCCAGCAACGGCAGTTCAACTATCCCGGAATGGTTTCCAGATTCTTTCTTAGTCACCGAAGAGCGGTTGGCAAAAAAGAATGTTACTAAGAGACAAATACGCCAGTGGACGCACCCACGCATGGCCAAGGTTTTGCATTGGGAGTAGAGTAGCATTGACTTGGGATGTGGTCTATGATTTATCAAAAACAGCCTTGGATATCTCTATACACACTGAGTACTGTTTTTGAAGTTGAAGATTTTGTTTTGCATATGTTTGACGACGTTTGAGCACCCCTTCAGACACAAAGCTCTCTTCAATTGGCTTGTTGACAAAAGGTCCTTAGCGTAATGTAGCATCCATCTATTTTAGAGCTTTGGTGTTACCAAAAATGTGAGTTATTCGGTACGATTGCGTGAGGTACGGATCCCTTGGATAAACTTTGGCAACTCATGGATCTAACTGCATGAAATTGTCGAGCTAAATATCTCCTCGGCGTCAGAGGAAACATAATTCACATGAATTGTGAAGCAAAGTTAGTACTTAGGCTTACTTATACCAGCTCGACAACCATTAGTAAGATCAAGAAGCCATGTTGTATCATATCAATGGGCAGTCTAGCATTCATTGTACCCGACTAGCAGCTATGTTTGCATGTAGACTTTGGCTTCATTTTTCCCAGCGCATTGAATTTCCCGTTACTGGCCGGGGTCTTATCACGACATCAGGTTTTCCGACGGGAGAGACATATGGTCTGCAACTTCCCACACGATCCGCAGAACATGATACGTAATAAGGGACAACGATTACTTGTCTAGGATCAATTCTTTCACGACCACACTCAAATTGGAAGATTCCCCGACGTGAGGTGAGGCACCTCGGCTGTTTTTTCAAACCATTACCAACATAGGTCAGAATCGTGCTGAGTCAGCCAAATTTGCTAGCACGCCATGGGTGCCAAGTTGAGATCATCGAAGCTATCTGCACAACCCTCGTCGCTTCTTATCTGCATACGTATGCTGCTACCATGTTATCTTCGGTTGACAGCGGAGGTCACCGGCAATCACCTCGGCTGCCACCCCCATCTACCAGAAGTCTGGAACCCTCTTGGTGCGACAGTCGCGGAGATGAGAGCGATGCCTCCAATCAGGGTCCAAATTGCGTGCTCTGTTTGCAACGTCGCGCAGTACCCAGCCACGTGGGTGTGGTGTTTCTCATAAATTCTACTCGGCAATGATGACAAGTTTCTGAAATCTTCACGACGGAGCTTCTTGTTTGGGTAACTCTTCTCTTTTGGACTATATCTCTGCCAGCGAGTCAGCATCCAAAGTTGCCCATATTGAGGAGACTGTTACCGCTCGAGAAGACAGGCCTCCATCCAAGATGGCTGAAAAGGCTGACAGCGTTTCCGATACGGCGCAGCCCGTTCAGCAATCGGAAAATGTCGACGGTAGGACAGTTTGACACATCATCAATTTCATAAACTGACGTCGAGTAGCGAAGTGGTATCGAACACCATTCTACAATGCCACGATTCTTGGCATGTGTAGTTTTGCAGCCCCAGGTCTTTGGGGTGCGATGAACTCTTTGGGTGCTGGTAAGTCTCATCAGAGGATCGAGGGCCCTTGTGCATCTATGGAACATGAAGTGTCTGATAATGTCATAGGTGGTGCTCAAGAGCCATACCTCGTTAATACCGGAAATGCACTCACCTTCTGCCTCATGATCATCTCATGCTGGCTCACAAGCTCTGTTGTCAAATATGTCGGCATCAAGGGTGCCTTAGTCATCGGCACAATCGGGTTTGCTCCATACAGCGCAGGCCTGTACCTTAACAACCGTTACGGCGTCGAGTGGCTCGTTATTCTCGGCGCTGCCTTCTGCGGCGTCTCAGCTGGTATTTTCTGGGGCTCGGAAGCTGCTATTGCCATTGCATATCCTGAGCCTCATAACAGAGGGCGCATGATTGCCTACTGGCTCACCTGGACTCGGGTTGGGCAAATCCTCGGCGGAGTCATCAACCTTGGCCTGAATGCGGACCGCAGTGGAGCTGGCAAGGTGTCGTACAAGGTTTATCTCATCTTCATCGCCTTACAAGCTTGCGGACCTTTCGTTGCAATGCTTTTGAACAAGCCAGAAAAGGTCCAGCGAGCCGATGGGAAGCCAGTCCAGCTGACCATTGCCGACAACCCATGGCAAGAGATCAAGGCTACGACCAAGACGTTCCTCACCCCCAAATTCCTGCTTCTCGTTTTGTGGATCGGCCAGGGCGTGTACTCTGAATCGATTTTCTTCACCTACATCGCTCTGTGGTTCTCTGTTAGAGCCCGTGCTCTCGGATCACTTCTCTCCGGTATCGTCGCAGTCATCGCTGGTAACCTCCTCGGACTGTGGCTCGATCAGAACCAGATCGCTTTGAAAAAGAGAGCTCGCTGGGCCTTTGCAGTCATTATGACTCTCCAGGGTGCCTGGTGGCTATGGTTGACGATCAATGTCACCGAGTACCGTCGAACTCAGCCTACGCTCGACTGGAGTGACCCAGGATTCGGCAGAGGCTTTGGTGTCTTTATCTTTCTGGTCGCTGGCTTCCAGTTGAACTACAACTTTGCGTTCTTCATAATTGGACAGATCTCCGAAAACCCCCAGGAGACGATCCGCCTGTCAGCACTTCTTCGAGGCACAGAGTCAGCCTGGCAAGCTGTCAGTTACGGACTGAACGCAATCCCAATTTTCGCCTTAGTCGGCGGACCGTACATTAACTTTGGGCTTTGGTTTATCTCGATTTACCCGGCTTGGCTGGTTGTCAGACATTTCGGCAATGATGCAAGGAAGACTGATGCAGAGACAGTCACTCAGTCGGAGGCGGTCCACGAAATTAAAAGTTGAAGGGGATGCGGGGCACTGCTGATTGTTGGGCAACAAGTTAAGCTGTAGCTTGACATGAGGTGCTACTCGTCCACATCTTGATCGATCCTCTGGCTACTATCCACAAAGACGTAGTCATGAATACAAGAATACAATGTATTACTTGGGTAACAAGTCCTCTCACTCTTTGTCTCTCTTTGTTCTCTAGTTGCAACCTTAAATGCGTCGATGATAATGTGATGCTGTTGGAAATTCCATTGATCTTTACAACAGCAAAGCAATCGGAGCATTAAGGTACTTCACTCATAGTGACTGAGTTGGATTTAAGGTCTTTGACCTTGCTTTTTTGTTGAAAGATCATGATTCTTCAAGCTGCTGTACAAGTTATTCTTCCATGAATCGAATCGATGCCATAATGCTCATGGACAGTAAACTCTTTTTTCTCCCAGACATATAGATACTTATGCATAACTGACGCCCAAGTAGATATCCTACCTCAATCGCTACTTTTCAAGCCTACATTGACTCTTCGACTCATTAGTACGCAAAAGAAGGATAGCAACGTCTCGTTTAATCATTTTAAAACGCCAAAGCCAGTCAGTAGTACAGCGCAAAATTTGGGAGGACCAGCAACAAAGATGAACGCATATACATATCCCATGACAAGTGCGTTTCTTCAACTGCCACGGGAGATACGCGACCGCATTTATGAGTTATCTGAGCTTATGCCCTTGAGGTGTGAGCTAGATATTTGCGAGCCAGTCGGCAGTCTACCATGGTCTGCAGCATACCCACAATCTCCTCTTTTCGAAGTCTGTCTCCAAGTCCAAGCCGAGGTCCTCGAGTTGTTTCATAGCCAAAACCATTTCAGGTTCTGGCTTGGACGGAACAAATGGTGTGAGAACCAATCTATGCTTAGCTCTCTCAACTGCACATTCACTGAAGCGCAGTTCAAATCGTCAGATCTCCCTTCTGTCAGGGGCATCAAGCAACTCTATCTGAACTTCTATAAAGGCACCGGACCAGGCCAAGTAGTTGCGTCGGAAATAGCTGCATCGGCCAGTCTAATAGAGAAAATTACGATCTGCCCCAACAGGCATAGCCATGATCCGACTCCTAACCAGTTTCAGTCTGCTCTTCTGAGGTTCGTGAGAGACATTCAGGAGCAAGTCCCTTCAGTGCATACAATCAGGCTCGCTCACCCCATTGCCAAAGAACTTGCTCAGAGAATAGCTCAAGAGACTTCGTTACGAATTGAGGCCATCTGTGCGGGAGAGACTCATGACGAATGTAACCGCACGCTTCCGTTGTCCCCGGAGACTTTTTGCGGCTCAGCTAGGTCTAAGAAAGCCCAAGGAAGTGATCTAGACAACACAGTATTCTCAAATATACATGGTTATATTTGGACTGTTAGGAATTCGGTCGAGCGATGGCACCAACGGTTTGTGTCAATAGGAGACTTGGTCTGAAGCTCAAAGCTTCTTTGAGTTGAATAGCTGGAACTGCCGTGTGCCTACAACCCCTAGGATAAATACAAATCTACTTTGACGGGAAAGTTGGTGAGCCCGGTATTGCATGTGACAGCACTCAGAAGAAGAAGTACCGTCATATATGCCACATACGCGATGATCAATGCAGAATGATTCTGTTTCTTTCAATCAGGCCGCGTTGATCAGATGCCTTTGCCTGGCTCATATATGACCTCATCACGAACTAAACCTCTTTAGTACAAACCGAAGAGTAAATGAGAAGCTGGAGAGGGAGAGAGTCTATTCATCGTTGCGCTCAGCCCACAGATGACACTGTCACATGCCACTGGCGAAACGCAGAAGATCATGATTATTGCGTCGTTAGTAGGATTGGCGGGCCCTATCCTCTGGATTTCCTTACTGAAAAAACCACAAGCTGAGCGAGAAATCGCAAACCAAGGGCGTTATCTTCTGAGATAGATCATTGTGTACTATAGTAAGAGCTTGTGGATGCCTGGACTGTATTCCTTGTATCCAGAGATTGAGGGGTCGCCTCCTGGCCAACGGGTTGAATGCAATGCGGTTCGAACACGAATATTCACATAGCAGCGCGCAATAATTCCAATGCCATGACGACATGCCACATCCTTTTGCAAAGTCCTACCATACAACTAGATGCATTCATACGAAGCGGATATTAGCAGCGTAAGCTGAGAAGCTAGAGGCCACGTCCCCAGAGTGGGTTAAACAAATGAGGTTGAATCAAGTACCTCAATGCACATAGTCGACGGAAGACACTATTGCCATCCATGTAGGCATTGCGAAGCCTGATTTTTGCTTTCCAGCTCGACTGCTCCTTTGGGTTTATCGACGCGGGTCCGAGACACGCGGAGGAATCCGGGGTAGATGTGGAGGTCGGAGACGGAAGCCGGAACTCGGGAGGGAAGCTATTGCCAGACAGGGTTACCTCTTTGTCTGGAAAGACAAGACCTGGAGGGCAAACATTACTTATTCTGGAGTCTTGCATTCAGATATTGCGTTTAGAACAGCTGACGAAGCAAGTCAGGGCAGGAAGTGACATGATCTAGGGTCGAAAGTAGTCGATGTTGGTCTTTAAAGACAATGATTGTGAAGAGCGCCAGATCATGGAATGCACAGTGGCTCACTGATCAGGCTTGGTAGCCAATCCGGGCCTCTCGAAATAGGGCCTCTCGAAATACCTGCGGTCGCTCGATCTCTCAAACTCCAAGTCTCGGTCTCTAGTGTGACCTCCGCAAAATGCACTCCAGTCTCCAGCGCTATCCCGGAAGCGTAGCCCCACCCCCGGTCAATAAGTCTTCCGAGTCATGCCCTCCACGTCTCGGTCTTGCCTAAGGAGGCAGTCTTTAGCATCTTCACGCTACCAAGAGATGTTGCATCCACGTGGAAAGTGCGGAGAACTGGGGGGCTCTCAAGTGCCCTCGGCGAGTGCCCATGGGGAAGCTTGCATTGCAGCCTTTATGTGCTTTTTCAATCCAGAATGCTTGGAGTATAAGACGCGTGAAGGTCCCATCACCCTCCGAGATGAGGACGATTCGAAGCAACCTCAACCTTGCAGGGGGACATTATCACGCGTTCCGAAGTCAACCCAGTCCTGCGCAACCTCGGACTGCCAATCACAATGGACGCCAAGAACGAGCCGACGGTCCAGCATGATGACAAGCAGAGAGCCGACCGGCTTGAAGATGCGAAGGTGGCCGCAACAGCTGCGCTACCAACAACGCAGGCCAACGAGAAGCTTACTTTCAGCGATCTGTGGGAGAACAAGCGCGTTTTGGGCTTCTGTCAGTTCAGCTGTACCTGCTGATCCCTGAAAAGCATGTTTCGCTAATATGATGTGTGCCGGTAATAGGCTTGATGATCTACCTTTTGCCCATCAACTTTGGTTACGAAGTCTCGACCATCGGAAAGCTCCTCGCTGTAACCCCTTTCGCTCAACGTTTCGGTCACGAAATCAACGGAAAATGGCAGGTTGCCGCTCGGGACCAACAGATCCTCAATGCCGCGGGCACGATCGGAATCTTCGTCTCGGCATTTGCAACAGGCTTCATTAGCGATATCTTTGGCCGGAAGAAGACCATTGGCCTCGCTTGCTTGATTTGCTGCGGTGGCACGATCCTCCAATATTTTGCATCAACCATCATGATGCTTTTCGGCGGCAAGGTCGTCGCAACTTTTGGATTCGGCCTGGGCCACTCCTTGGGGCCTGTCTTTGTTGCTGAGCTCGCACCAGTCAAGATGCGTGGTGTTTGCCTGGTTCTTGTCAACACAATGATCACTGTTGGCCAGTGGCTCAACTCGGCGACGGTACTGGCAAGCGATCACTATCACAATGACCTTTCTTGGCGAATCCCGTTGATAACACAACTCATTCCTCCTGGACTGCTCCTTTGCGGTTTGGTATTCTTGCCCGAATCCCCTAGCTGGCTTCTCATCAAGGGTCGTCGTGAAGAAGCCGCCAAATCATACAAAAGGTTCAACGGGCCCAACTTCGACGTGGATGCCGCATTGGCGGTCGCCACTGTTGCCATTGCCAAAGAGCAAGAGGCCAAAAAGGAACAGGAGTCAGCTCGCTGGGTTGACTGTTTTAAGGGAGTCAATGGCAGGCGCACAGCAATTATTGTTATGGTCTATCTTTCTCAGCAAGCCATCGGTGTGAACTTTGTTTCGGGCTACCTCACGTAAGACAGCCTCTTTTCTCTACGATTCCATGGTCACTGACAGCTCGCAGATACTATTTTCGATTGGCTGGAATTAACAATCCGCTTGCAATCGGCCAGGCAGCCTACGCAATTCAGTTCGTCGGCAACATGACTTCCTGGCCACTTGTGGATCGATATGGAAGACGCCCATTGATCGTCGGCGGCGTATTCACCATGACAGCACTTTTGCTTCTCATTGGCGGTATCAGCACCATCGGCAACCAAGCCTCACTCACCGCAACGGTCGCTTTCATGGTCATTTGGGGATATTTGTATCAAGCAACTTTGGGCGCGGTTGCGTACTCAGTCGGAGGAGAAACTGCCAGGTATGTTTACGATAAACTCTCAAGTTATGTTCTTAGGCTTTGGATTGGATTCTGCAAGCCATCCGTCCAGACTCCAGTTCAAGCGGTCTTGGTAGTATTAGCACGTGGTGGTGTTCAGGAACACCGGCTTGTGGGCCTTCAACCCTGACTCGTGGGTAAAAAGAACAGGGGCATGCCTTGCTGACGAAATGACGATTAGTGTGCAATTGCGACAAAAAGCTTACAGCATCAATATCATGTGCTCGACCGCGGCGTCGTGCTTAGTATTACAGGTGATGCCCTACCTGCTGAATACAGATCAGGCCAACTTGGGCGGTAAAATTTGCTTCATCTTCTTCGGCCTGTCGTTGCCCATGTGCGCATGGCTTTATCTCTACTTCCCCGAGATGAAGGGTCGTAACTACGCCGAGATTCAAGAAATGTTTAGCAATCGCGTGCCGGCCCGCAAGTTCAAGTCTTATGTTTGTGAGGTCAGCGCTGGGGGCCAGGAGGAGAAGAAGCTTCAAGACGAAGCATGAAGGGGCGAGTGGTGGATACCAAAGATGTAATCTCTACGGATACCATAGGCTACAGCAACGAAAGACAGACCACGTTATCCTTACTTTGTAAAGGGTGTGAAGCCTTCGCGAAAAACCTGGAAGCCATAGGGCTACCGTTAAGAAGCTTAAATGAGGCACACAAACCGTTAATGAGCACACGATGCTCCGTGCAACCATTGGGTGGCCTGGTCCCCTTAGACTCGCCTTTGCGCATTTCGGTTGGCTCACTGTCGAAACCCGGCCGAAATGACATGGGACTAATGCAGAGACGATGATTAGCGACGTTTAGGATAAAGCAAAATAACGCAGTGGGCCGGGATCATAATCGGAGATTAGAGTGATCCTGACTGGGACTCGTGCTTGTCAGAGTTCTTTGCTCGAGTCCGTGACAACGTTGACATTGTTATCATTCAGTCTTCCAGGGCGCGTCCACAATTTCTTTTAAAATCTCCGCTCTCCACGGTCTTCTCCAGATCAGCATTCTTTTTGGGGGCAAAAACGTCTGGCACAGCCTCAGTTGACAGTTGTTGATCCGTCGATCGCGAACACTTCAACGTTACACTCATTTTCAACTACACTCATTCACCAGCAACCATGTTCTCTCAGCGCCTCTTGTGGCTTGGTGCCACTCTTCTGGCCTCGTGCTCTCAGCTAGCCAGCGCCGAGTTGCCAGCCGACGCCATTGAGCTCGATCTTGTCTTCCCTCGCGGCGATGGCAAGTATGCCGAGACCACCAACGGCTACCCCGTCCTCCTCAACGTCCAGAACCCCGATGTCGCGTACAAGTACGGCTACAACTTTGTCTGGGATATCTACTCGAGAAACAAGAACTCGTACATGCGTACCGCCGCCCACGGCATCTTGGGCGCTTCCATCGGAAACGACAGCACCTTTGGCAACGGCCCGCACCTCGAGGCTGGCAAGACCGGTCACCTCGCTCCCGGCGACTACACATTCGCTTGGGTCTTTGGCATGGGCGCCCAATGCGAGTTCACCGAGCAACCCGACTACAGCGAGTTCAACCTGAACCCGCGCATCGCCAACGGTAGCTTTGACTTCACCGTCGAGACCAGCGGCAAGGAGCCGACTTTCACCACTTGCCCGAGCGCCATTGGCAGCATGAGCTACGTTTCCACGACGACATACAACTCCGAGGCCACCAGTGTCTGTGCTGTCACTGCTTCTATCACCCACGATTCGCAACCCTGCTCGGCTACCATCAGCAACGACCAAGCTACCAGCGTTTACAGCGCGCTGGGCTATGCTCGCGCAACAGGATCTTCCGGAGCCGCATCGCTCAACTCGAACTTGCCCTCGTCTCATTTCGCTCTCATTGCCGGTGTAGTCGCAGCGGTTGCAATTTTGGCTTAAGCGCGGTAGACAACTTCCGTCGCAGATGCAATTCACAGAGAGACGCGCCAATGATGTTACGAAGAGCGGCAGCTGAAAGCGACGGGCATTACGACCTGCCCGATTAGCAGCCCTATGAACACTTCAATTCTTCATTCTGCGAGAATGGGTGGCTAAGCAGCGACAGCGCATGCAGGCTGCACCAACAGTACCTTATCAAAGTTTGCTGTGCCGTTCACGTCTGCCTTGGACTGGTCCCATCGTGCAGACGGCACAGTCCTGGTTCCCATCCACGCTGCTACCCCTTGTGGTACAGCACAGCAACCAAAAATAAGCCATAGATCTGCAAAGGGCGCAGTCCGGTACGGATCTGGCCCTCCGGGAGAGGCTTCGGGTGGCCAGGCTTGATGCGGGCGAGGGACGAGAGTGACAAGGTACCGCTCCTCAAGAGAAACATTTCCCCATCCACCGACATCTCCGTGCAAGGGTTGGACGGGTTGGTTCAGCCCCCAAAGGCCCAGATCGCTTCCTTGTTCGGTATCTCGCGTCCTCCGCCATCGATGCCAGCCAATGATGGAGCATGTCGGCTGACGTTAGCATTCAAAAACCTTGAAAAATACAACGGCATTCGTCCCACTCTTTCCAAAGTTCCATGTATTGTATGTGATATGCGGCATCGCAGTTGGACCGCACATGTGCATGTAAGCACTGCAGGCGTCCAACTCGTGTAGCAGTCACGCTGCAATGCCCAGGCTTCAAGAATCTGTCAAGCTTTCTCGGCGTGCTTCCCAGTACTTGAGGCTCCCCAGTCCCAAGCCACCATGCAACTTTCCGTATGTTTGCTTTTGTTTCCATATTCCTTTGTCTTCATGCACTGAGCCTTTCTGACAGCTGCGACCTCGATCGGGACCCGGCAAACGGCAAACATGTCGCACAGACAACATTCGCACAATGTGAGCACAAGCTCGGCTGACACGATTTATGTAGAGCAACCAACAAGCCCCTTCATCCCTGGATCCGATAAGAGACAAAGCCTGGGATCGTACAAGGCGTACCAGTCAACGTTTGTTTCTGTCGATGACGTTCCTCCCAGCGAACCTGCTTTGAGCAGCAACGGAGAATCTAGACGCTCTATTCCCTCACGCTGGAGCAGGATCTCCGAGAAATCACACATCAAGTCCGAAACGTTCTCGCCATCTGGCTCTTGGACTTTTGAGATTGTCAGTCTTTGTGTAGCCATCATTGCCTCAGCCGCCATCATTGGTGTTCTCGCAGCATACGACGGAAAGCCGCTAGTATCATGGCACTTTCAAATCACCATCAACGCCGTTATCGCCTTGTTGGCTACCATTGCAACTGCGACTATGGCCCTCGTCCTTTCCAGTGGCATCTCTCAGTTGAAATGGATTCATTTCAAGACGCGCCGTGAACCCTTGTCGGACATGGAGGTGTTCGATGATGCCAGTCGAGGAACTTGGGGAGCTCTCATGATGCTCATGAAGCTTAGGGGAGGGTAAGTAGGATATGATCATTAATAGCTTCGACCCTTCGAACACACTCAGCTGACCTGAAGTCCCGTATAGTCTTCTTGGTTCTTTTGGCGCGTTCGTTGCCATCTTAACTCTAGCATTCAGCCCCTTTGCCCAACAGATTGCCACGTTCCACGCACGCACGACCAACTCTTCAGAAGGAGCCATCAACCTTCGAGCCGAGGAATACTTAATCGCTCTCAGCAGTCAGACTGCATCTGAAGGATTCATTCCAATTCTTCCTTTTAAGGCTGCTGTGTACAATGGTCTCTTTGCTGAGAACGGTAAGCCGTGGCTGAGCCTCCCTATCAACTGCAAGACGGGTAATTGCACTTGGGAGCCTTTCGAGACTCTCGGTGTGTGCAACACCTGTGTTGACATGTCTGAGTTCATGACTCGATCATGTGAGGACGGATCGATTCCTGAAGGCGACATGACAGAGTGCGGCTGGTCAGTTCCAGTGGGTGCTCAACTCAAGACACATGCCGACGTGTTTAGCATGACACCAATCTTCCCCCAAGGCCTCGGAGACATGTCTTACTCAACCATCATGAAGCTTGTATTCATGGGCACTGAGAAACAAGGGGGCGTTGCTGGTGCCCTTGCACCCTGGGCTCGGCAGTGCACCCTCCAAGCCTGTGTTCAAACTCTAGACTCCGAAATCGTCAACGGCGAGCTGAAAGAGACCATTGTCCATACCAGCACCAACGATTCCGTCGCTACGGCAACTCAAGACACTCTTGAGCCTATCTACATCTCGGGCCACAGTGACAATGAGTTCTATCCTATTGACATGAAAGTCATGATGGGCGTCCGTTCGTGGTTCTCGGACCTGTTCCGGAATGGGTCGGCCTCGCGTAATGAAGAGGTCATCAACAAGACCATTACGACTCCAGACAATGTCATTGTCAATCTCACTGTCGGTATTTCCAGCGGTGAGACATTCTTTGACACCGATATTGTCCAGGCCTTTTACTGGAACTACTACGAGTACCCAACGGGGATTGACATGCTCATGAACGATCTTGCAACCAGTGTCACCGTCAGTTTCAGGAGTTTCAACGGCTCCAATGTCATAGGCGTAGCACACACTGTTGAGAGCTATGTCCATGTTGAGTGGAGTTTCCTGGCTGTTCCGCTGCTCACTGTCTTGTTGACTACTCTTTTCTTGATCGCCGCAATCTACCAGACGTACCGCCAAAAGGCTAGCCTATGGAAGAGCAGTGTACTCGCAACCTTGGTTCATGGTCTAGATGGAAATGCCAGGGAGAGACTGGAGGACCTGGGTGGCTTGAAAGAGCAGCAAAAGGAGGCTAAGTCTGTGAGGGTGCAGCTGGACGATGGTGACGGTGGGCTGCTGAGGCTATCCAAGTACGATGATATCTGAGTTCGCATCTGAGTTGAAGCTGCTTTTTGCGCGATCAGGTTATGACGGATTTTGATACTTGGGAGAGATCTAATCGCCAAGTTTGGCGTGTTCACTTATACGCTCTTTACGACTTTAATGATAATGATAATAGCTCGAGACGTCATGTGTTTCATTTTGAACGGTCGTGGATAAAAGACGAAATCGCTCATGTTGCTATGCTCTATTTTGTACAAGTGAAAACTCTATGTATTCCTTTCCATGGCCATATATCCCAAGTGTAGGCAAGTGATAGCTTTTACAAGTTTAAACATATTCGGCGCAGATAAGGTCACCTCCGATGTCCATAACCTCTCCGATAGTGGCGTTGGGCATGATATCGACCATCCACAGGTTGTGGTTCAGGGTGGTTTCGTTGCCACCATCGCCAAAGTAGTCCGTCAGAGCAGCACTGGGGTACTCCATGCCGTTCTGGGTAAGGTAGCTGGTAAGAGGGATGTTGCGGCCTCCCATATCCGTCAAGCGGGAGCTGTTGACCTGCTGCCACTCCCACCAAAGACGGTCTAGGTTGGTGTGGTGCAGGAAGAAGAGCGGCTCGCCAGGGCTGCCAACGACATCGAGCATCTGAAGAGATCGTGTGAGCTTTGATCACACTTACATCGGCGGGGAGGGGGGTGACCAACGGTTCCACCAACTGCAGAGTGGCCTGCGGTGTGAGGGTTGACCTGGTAGCATTCGAAAGCCGCCGTGTAGTTCTCAGAAGCAAAGCACTCATCAATGTACTGCTGCTGTCCTGTCTGAAAGCCGTTTGAATTAAATGAGCGGGTCAAGCAATCTTCAGCGTAGTTGGAGGTGGAGTTGATGTGGAGAGTCAGGTTGACAAAGGGGCCGTCAGTGACACATCCACCGTCGCTGTCACCACCGAAGCCAGTGTCGGGATCAAATACAACGGAGCTGTTGAGTGAGTCCATGTCCAAGACCTCGTTCCAATACGGCTGGCCACCTTCGTAGCCGCACTCGGACTGGAGGAGGTACTCGTGGACACGCATGAAGTAGCGGTGCCAAGGGAGGAAAGATCCCTAAAGATTAAGTATTAGCCAAGCTTTCTCCTGTTACATCGAACTTCGTTGTGCATACAGTGTTGTGAATGATGTTGGATTGAGTGATGTGTGCCCAGTCAAGCTCATCCCAGCGGTTGATGGCGCCTTCGATGGAGGTCTTAGCTGCAGTAGACTGGAGGCAGAGCTCGGCATCGATGTAAGCCTTCTTCTCAGTATCGGTCATGTTGTTCCTGTTCTTGGCTTTAGCTTCAGATTCTTTGGTTGAATTCTAGGAAATTATGAAGTTCTTACCATGCTTTTCTCTGAGACTTGCTTGTGCAAGTGGTGTTCCAGGAAGCGGCGGCTGCCAAGCCGGTGGTCGCGAGGAGCGAGACTAGTGAGCGAAGAGTGACAGTCATTGTGGCTGTTGTTCAAAGAGTGAAGAGATCGAAAAGTAAAGACTGGAGTGCGATCCTCGGATTTAGGCTGAGATGCTGAGTGGTGATGAAAAAAAATGCCCATCATCTCGGCAGCCACCTCGATTTATAACTTTTTTCTTTCACTCATAAATATCACCAACTCTTTTCTCCACCTTCTCAAGCAGAGCCGCGATGTTAGACACGGGGATGTGAGTGTGCACTGCGCAATCGGCCAATGCGCCTCACTTGGCAGACCGCGTCACCCTTGCTTCGTTCGGACGAACCGTAAATTTTACCCACTTCCCGTCCTGTTTCTCCTATTTTGCGGAGTGGCCACCACAACAGCCATGTGGGATGTGCCATTGATGCTTAAAGCTGCCCCTGACTAAGAACGAGAATAGAACTGAGCTCCCCACAGACATTCGTAACGGCCTCCCCTACTCTTGAATGAGCGGTGCACAATCCTTGACCGTGGCACCGTGCTGTGAACTCTGGCGAAGGCGATTACGTTGTCTCTGGTTGTGAGCAGCGCGGCGGCGGTCACATCGTGGGATTAATTCCACAGGGAGGCTCCCACGAGCTCCCTTCTAGAGACCTAGACACATACTCAGCTTGGGGGGGAATGTATCCAGTAGATACCCTGTCTCTCATGCACGGCAGTTGAGAG